TTTTTTTCTTTTTGCTTATGTGGTGCTGAGGAATCGAACCCAGGGCCTCATGCATGCAAGGCAAGTGCTCTACCACTGAGCCCCCTCCCCAGCCCAATTTCCTTGCTTTGTGCAGCAGAGGTGGTTCTTTAGAAGGTTTGTATGGTCAGTGTCTTCCTTGTACCCTGGTGTAGTACAGAAATGTGCCGGATGCTTGACAAATGTGGTGAAAGCATTGGAGCTGCTCAAGGTAATGCATGGGATTGGTGGCAGCACTTTAGTCTAACTTTGAGTTGACCACAGGTCCTTCTGTGGCCCTGGACAGTGGTGTTCCATTCTGGGTCCTGTTTCCTCTTGAGCTAAATGGGGCCATGATAACTCCCTCATCTTGGGTGTTGTTGTGGAATCAAACAATAGGAAGCTAGGATTCTGGGTCAGCTCCCCCCCACCAACTCTTTTTGCAGGGGGCTTTCTTCTGTGACCTTGTACTCATCTATATCATCAAAACGGGAGAGTTTTACCGAGACAAGAAATATGAGGAAGTAAGGTCAGTGAGTCTTCCTTCCTGCGTGCCAGCTTATCTTCACCTGGTGGGTCGTGGGGTTAGGGTATGGAGGTGGAATGTTGGGTGTGGCTGTCCATAGAACAGGGTACTACCTCAGAGCTTCCAGAGGGAGAGGCTGCCTCAGGCCATCTTGCTGAAGGTCCGCTTTGCAGGCTCAGCATCACAGTCTCTGTGATCACTCCCAGGCCTCTTTGGGCCTCAATTTCTCTGTCTGCAAGATGAGTATTGATAAGAGGCCTCAGATGAATGTTGGTCCGGGGGTAGGGAAACTTTTTCCTGCCAAGGGCTATGCATCATGTTTAGGACCATATGAAATTATCAGTATCAGACAACAGTAGATGAGGTGCATGGGGGAAGACCTATGTCTGTCCTATCTGGTACCAAATGATCTCATGGACCTTATGTGGTTGGAGGCTAGCAGTTCCCCTCCCGTAGCAGAGGGCCTCCCAACACTTGTGATTTGTGATTCTTGTACTTGGTTGTACTAGAGGGTGGGGCTTTGAAGATGAATGACAAGGGAAGGGGAAAATGAATGCCTCTCCCCTTCCTCCTCCTCTGGAACCTCTTCCAAGGTCTCTTGAGTGGGCTTTGTGATGTGCACACATACATGTGTGTGCATGCATATGTGTGCACATATGTATGTATGCATGTGGGATGCATGTGTGCATGGGTGCGGGGTGCATGTATGTATATATAGAGCAGCAGATCATAGTAAGGGGATCCATGTGATTGGGGTGCTCTTTCTCCTTGAGAAATCTTTCAAGAGGTGCTAAGACCCTGAGCTGGGCACTAGTAGTTTACAGCTGTAATCCTAGCTACTCAGGAGGCTGAGATCTGAGGATCACGGTCCTAGGCAGGAAAGTCTGTGAGACATTCTTTTTCTTGCCAGTCCTGGGGCTTGAACTCAGGGCCTGGCCACTGTCCCTGAGCTTCTTTTGCCCAAAGCTACCATTCTACCACTTGAGCCACAGTGCCACTTCTCTTTTTCTGCTTATGTGGTACTGAGGACTCAAATCCAGGGCTTCATGCATGCTAGGCAAGCACTCTACCACTGAGCCACATTCCCAGCCCTTTGTGAGATTCTTATCTCCAATTAATCATCAGAAAGCCGGAAATGGTGCTGTGGTTCAAAGTGGTAGAGCACTAGCCTTGAGCAGAAAAAGCTCAGAGACAGTGCTCAGACCCTGAGTTCAAGCCCCATAGCCAACAACAACAACAAAATAATATCCTGGAACAGACACCTGGATGTTCCCTCAGCCTATGATGGTGGGTTCCAGAAGTGGGGCCTGAGTGGTTTGCTTGGGTTAACTCCAGCTGTAGCCTGAGCTCTGAGCCCCACCTGGCTGCAGGCTGTACCCCTGGAAGATGGAGGGTGGATGTTGGTAGCAGCAGGCCTGGGCTAGGTTAATGGGTCATATCCTTCTGCCCAGGGGCCGAGAGGACAGGTCTCTGGAATCCAAGGGTGAAGCGATGAAGCAGGGGCTAGAGGAGGATGAGCCCCTGGAGGGGGATCTGCCCCTTGAGCAGCCCAGAAACAGCAGCTGGAAGCAGAATGGCAGTTTGGACCCACAGATCCTCCGGCCTGCCAGGTGAGGAGCTTCTGGGAAGATGATGATTGGAATCCCCAATGTGGGGGTTGCTAGGGTGCTGCCCATGGACTGGACCCCTGAGTCCCCCTGCAAAGCAAGCATCTTGCTACATAGTTCCTAACTTTCCAGACCCTCAAGCCTCTCCCAACCAACACTGCCCTGAGCTATTAGTATATATTAACTTGTTGGTACAACTTAATGAGGACATAGATAGGCCCTAACAAATGAGGAAACCAAAGCACAAAAAGGGTTACACAACTTGCTCAAGCCCCACAGTTAATAAATGGTAGAGTTGGTATTTGAATGAAAGTAGCCGATCTTCAGCTCTTGTTCTCCAAGCAGTGTGCTTACCTGCTCAAGCTCCCCATTCCCCCACCTTCCCAGCAAGCTACTCCCCTTGGTCCTTTTCTTTGTGGATATTCTTGAGCTGCTCTTCCTTGGGGTACTGCCCTGAATTCCTGCTCAGCTTGACCTTTTTTGTTTTTCAAATAAGATTCCACTGCTGCCTAGTTGTGTTCTCTGCTTTGTTGTTTTCTTTTCTTCAGTAAATAGTGTGTGTGTGTGTGTTGGAACTGGGGCTTGAACTCAGGGCTTGGGCACTATCCCTTAGCTGTGTAGCTTAAGGCTGGTGTTCTACCACTTGAACCATAGTTCCACTTCTGGCTTTTTTGGTCTTTAGTTGGAGGTAAGAGTCTCATGGACTTTCCTGACTAGGTTGGCTTTGAACCATCATGACCCTCAGATTTTCAGCCTTATTAGCTAGGATGGATTACAGGGAGAGCTCCCTGAGCCAGGCTCCTTTAATAGTTCCTTCCAGTGTGGGGCTAGACAGGTGCCTGCTCTGCAGTTAGGCTTGGGCTCTGTGCCTCCTTCCTGTAAGCCACAACCCATGGAGTTTCCTGGCCTGGGACAGCATTACTGCCCTTAGCTTTCAGTCCTTGCTGACTCAGGGTTTGGCAGCCTTAGGCTTGAATCTGGGCCAGGGCAGAAGAAGGGCAGAGAAACAGCCTGGGACAGAGTGAAAGAAAAAACAAAACAAAACAGGAGACTGAGAACTGAAACAGCAGGGCCAGACTGGCTATCCCGATCTGTCCCCGCGTTCCCTGCTTTGACTGTCACTGTCTTGGTACATCTGGGAGCATCTTACCTAATGGGGGGGGGAGAGGGTGGAATGGCTGGGTTTTGGCTGGCTGCCACCACAGTTACTGTTGCTCATTACTAAGCAGCAGCCCATAGGCCTCAGCCTGAGGATTTCCTTGTGTCTGGGAAGTGTCCAGGAACCCCAACAGGGTGTGCCTCTTTTTGTTTAATTTAATTTTATTGTCAAGGTAATAAACAAAGGGGTTACAGTTACATAAGTAAGGTAGGGAGTACATTTTTTGTCAGACTTGTTCCTCTTCCCTCATTTTCTCCTACTTTCCCTCCTCCTAACACTCCCTCCAAGTTGTACAGATCATTTCCAACATAGTGTCTTGTGAGTATCACTGTTGCATTGGTTCTCCCTTTGTCCTTTGTCTTACCATTTTGTTGTTCCCCTTCCCTTTCCTAATTCAGATAAACGTATTTATAATACCCAGGGTACCAAAATCAAATACAGTAACAAGAGGGGATAAACCATAGGGGAAAAAGAGAATGAAAGAAAAAAGAAATAACTTCACAGAGTACATTAAAAACAACAACAAAGACCAACTTCTCGTTTCCATATCTTGGAGTTCATTTCACTTAGCATCATCTTATATGGTCATATGTACATAGCTATTGAGCTACTGTGATCCTCTTCTTGGACTATCCTAGACATATAGTAATTATTACAAATGAGGGAAACCGTGCAGTCTGTTTCTTTGGGTCTTGCTTACTTAATATGATTTTTTCCAAGTCTTTCCATTTCCTTATGAATGGGGTGGTGTCATTCTTTCTGATGGAAGCATAGAATTCCACTGTGTGTGTGTGTGTGTACCACATTTTCTTGTTCCATTCATCTACTGAGGAGCATCTAGGTTGGAGCATCTATCTTAGCTATGGTAAATAATGCTGCAATGAACCCAGGGTGCACCTCTTTCAAAATGCTCTTAACACTACTTGTTGCCTGCGATAGGCTGAGGCTGCTTGCTGTGTGCTTCCTACCTTTTGGGAGACAGTGACCTGTCAGTCTTCTCTGCCTTTGTGTGTCCTTTCTTTTACCAATAGGTCTGGGCTCCATGAGGACGCCACGGTGAATGAGAAACAGCGGCAGATCTTGCAGACTGTAGAGACGTAGCCAGAACTTCTGGCCAAGAGTAGATTTGAAGATGTTGGGGCCAGAAGAGTTCACAGCTCTTAACTGAGAAGAGGCATCCCTGTGCCTGGATTGGACAGGGACTTTCTGGAAAAGCCATCACTCCTGCTTTTTAGAGTCCTACTCTAAGCCTTTTCTTGTGTGAAGGGGAAGACCTTCTGTGACTAGAGCAGTTCAAATCCAGAAGAGGAGCCCTGGGGCAGGCACCCAGGGAAAGGGCCCGCCATAGGCCTGGCAATGCTAGAGTGGTATGATTTCTCCTGAATGGAAATGCACTCATCTATGCAGAAAATGTGCATTAAAGCATGCCTATTGCTGGGTGCTTTCTTAGAGATGCTTAAATGAGCTGCTAACCTGGTTCTTAGGGAAGAGATACTCATATAACTCCCTCCAGAGCCTACAGAGACATGACAGCCAGCCTGGGTACCTAGCCCTCCTCTTGTTGCTAACTTAACAGTTTTCACAAGACCCTGTAGAGAATGATGCTTGTTTAGAAAAATCCTTTGTACAAGATCCCAAGGGACATTTGGGTGTACTCCCAGGGATAAATTTTTAAAAGTGGTTCAGGAGGCAACTGGGAAAAGGCTGCGCCAATCAGGAAGCAATTGGCGCTTAAGGGAAGAGGTCAGCTGCAGAGGCTTGGTGAGGAAAGGGTGGCAGGGAAGCCTCTGCTCCATTTTGCCACCCATCGCAGGTCCAGGAAGCTCTGGGAATAATGACCGGCTGAAGTGAGAGATGCCTCTTTGTGTACGGTTGGCTCTTGCTGTTCTGTGGGGCTGGCTCTGACTAGCTGCACCCAGCCCACTCTTCTTAGATGCCTGGGCTGAGGTGCTGCTAATGAAATGAAGGATAATGCTCTCTGAGCAGGCGCAAAGTTGATAGGGAGCCCTCACTCCCAGTCTGCTGCCCCACCTTCCCCATGTCAAATGCCCCACTCTAAGCTACAGACTTTTTTTGGGGGGGGTCCGGTTGTGGGGCCTGAACTCTGGGCCTGGGCGCTATCCCTCAGCTCTTCAGCTCAAGGCTAGCACTCTACCACTTGAGCCACAGTGCCACTTCCGGCTTTTTTCTTTTTGCTTATGTGGTGCTGAGGAATTGAACCCAGGGCCTCAGGCATGCAAGGCAAGCGCTCTACCACTGAGCCACCTTCCCAGCCCTAAGCTACAGACTTTTAAGGGCTGGAGAGTCCAGTAACTCAAAATGGGGTCTGTGGACCAGCAGGGTCAGTGTCTCCAGGAAGCCAGTGAGCAATGCAGTCTCAGGCCCTTCCCCTGTCCTACCAAAACAGAACCTGCCTCTGCTCAAGATCCTGACGGGATTTGCAAGCACTCTATTTGGGAAGCTCTAGTTGGGAGTGAGAGGAAGTAAACTTGATCAGAAGGGGTGTTCTAGGTTAGACTTACCCATGCTGTCTTGAGAGCAGGGGGATTGTTCTCTCTCATTCCCATCACAAAAGCAACACTATGCTCACTTTATTTTAATTAACTATTTTGACTAGGTAATATTGTTATTTTTGTGTGTGTGTGCCAGTAGTAGGGCTTGAACTCTGGGCCTTTGAACTTCAGCAGCCATGACCCTTGCTCCTTGTTTCTTCCCACACCTAAAAGTCACATTAGATTATAAAACCCAATTGCTTTAGTGAGGAGCCCTCCCTTAGCTTTTTCAATCAAGGCTGGCATTCTGCCAGTTGAGCCACAGTTCCACTTTTGGCTTTTTGGTGGTTAATTGGAGATAAGAATCTCATGGTCTTTTCTGCCCAGGCTGGCTTTGAATGTCACTATCCTTAGATCTCAGCCTCCTGAGTAGCTAGGATTACAGGCATGAGCCACCTGTGCTGGGCTTGACTAGGTAATACTTGCATAATTCAAAAATTTAGTTTTTGTCGGTCGTGGGGCTTGAACTCTGGGCCTGGGTGTTGTCCCTCAGCTCTTCAACTCAAGGCAAGCGCTCTACCACTTGAGCTACAGCGCCAGTTCCTTGCATAATTCAAAAATTTAAAGGTACAAAAGAATAGAAGTAAAAAGTGTCCTTCCTACATTTGTTCTTTGCGGAGGCAAATAGTGTGATCAATTCCAAAAGACTCCCTTGTTTTGTTAATAATGCACTGGTTTACTTGTGTGCTCACTCAGGAAATGATCTTTTCCTGGAGAATCAAGTCTCTTGTGTCAGAAATTCACACGGAAAGCTTAAATACTGGGCTTGGGAACTGGCTAGATCATGTCTCCTTTCCCCTTCAAGAGTCCTTGAAGAAACACAAGGCCAGAAGGTAGCCAATCACGCACTGTTGTTTGGACTATGAGCAGACAACAGGGCTCCAGGGCTGCTTTGATTTAGTTCTAGGGCATTGTTGTGGAGTGGGTCCCTCCTCTTTGGAAAGGATTTCTTCTGCACATGGAGAGGGAGATAAGCATCATCAGAAGGGTCAGCTGGGTGTAGGGGCACAACGCTTGTAATTCCAGCACACGGGATGACTTGGACTCAGTTTTCTGCCTGGACAACATAGAGAGGGAGGCCCCATCTCAAAGCGAGTGGGTGGGTATTGGTAGAAGTTGCTGCCTTCGGAATCCTTTCTAGAGCAAGCAGTTCCCACACCTTGGGGTATCTGGGAACTGAGCCAATTTGCCCTTCCAAATGGAAAGTGAAAAATCTGGGTAATTCACTTAGGTGTTTTGCTTCCTCACTAAAGCAATTGGGTTTTATAATCTAACATATTACTTTTATGTGTGGGAGGAAACGAGGGACAAGCAAGAGTCATGGCTAGTAAATGACTGGTCTGGTTCCTTTTAACCAGATTTTGAAATGGCATGGCAGCAATCTTAGAATTTGGGAACAATTGTACTGTTTACTTATATGGGAATGAAAATGTCTCACTGTAGCTTTTCAATCAGTAAATACTCATTGAATTCTATCATGTATCAGTTGTTGGACATTTTAGAAATACAGTGGTGACAATCTACATAGCATGCTTCAGGTCTGGCAAGAATTAACCAAGAGTAGCCATACATAGGTGTTGAAATCTGAATTTACCAAGCAATTTGGCATTCTCAGAGAACACAGACACAGAGCTGCTTTGGCATGGGCAGAGGATGAAGTGGGTATTTTCTCCCTTCCTTCCCTCTCTCCCTTTCTTCCTTTTCTCCACTCCTCTTTCCATGCTCCTCCTCTCTTGAGACAGGGCTTCACTACATAGCCCAAGTTAGTCTGGTACTTGAGATTCTTCTGCCTCTGAATGCTGATTACATGTGTGAACCAGTCTTCAGTGAGTCTTGAGTGGCAGGATTTGAACTCAGGGTCTTGCCTTGCTAGGCTGGTGCTTTACTATTTGAGTTACAGTTCTACCTCTGCTTTTTCAGTGTGATTCTTCAGATCCCAGTCTTCTGAGTAGCTTTACAAGTGTGAGTTACCAGTACCTATTTTGTGATGCTTTTTTTTTTTTTGTCGGTAATGGGGCTTGAACTCTTAAGCTGAGCACTGTCAGCTTTTCAGCTCAAGGCTCCCACTTGAGCTACAGCACCACTTTGGGTTTTCTGGTGGTTTACTGGAGTTTCATGGCTTTTCCTCCCGGGCAGGCTTTGAACTCTGATCCTCAGATCTCAGCCTCCTGAGTAGCTAGGATTGCAGGCGTGAGACACTGGCACCCAGCTTTGATGGATTCTTTAACCAAGTTTTTTTCCTTAATCCTAAGGATATCTCAAAAATTTACAGCCTTAGAGACTTAACCTATTCATGGCTGATAAAGCTTTCTGGGTGGCATCACTGCCTGAATATTAGGGGCTAGAAGCTCAGAAAAGCCAAGGAACCCATTGTGGTTTTCGGACAGAACTGCGTGCTCTGCTTCTGACCTTCCACACATTGGTGTGAGGGGGATGGGGAATCTTAGGGAAGGATTTTGTTGCTGTTTTTTTGGTTGAAGGTTTTTGAGACAGGCCTCAGATTCTTCCATCCTCCCTATCTTCATCATCCTCAGCTATCTGAGCATTGGGAATACAGGCAGAAAAATGGATTTCTTTTTCAACCAAGAGAAAGTTTATTTGAAAGTAAAAGAAAAGCAGTAAAGGTAGCAAAAACTCTCCATCTGGGGAAGGGACCCAAGAGAAGTCACAGAAAAGGGACTTTTAGTCAGGGAGAGGTAAAGCAGGAACTTAAAAGCTGGTAAAAGTTTTCTCCAAAGACACTGATTTGTTGAGAGCACCAATATTTCTAGAGTATTTTAGCAGTGTTGGGAATTGGAAACAAGGCCTGCACTGTAACACCCCACCCCAAGAGCTCCTTTCTATTCTGATACTCCAGGATGAGATGAAGTGTCTATGCTTATTTTCAGCCCAGGCTGCGGTCATCAGGACTGACTAGCCTTGGCTGCGTCCCCTCTCCACTCACCATTAGTCCTTCCTCTTAGTGCGGGCCAGTCATAAAGGGGAAAGATGACTTCCTCTAGATGTCTATACGAGCCAAGTATGATGTCTTGTGGAGTTGCTCAATCACCTTCCTTGGAGTGACAGCCCACGTATCTGGAAAGAGGCTCCATTTTGCTCCAACCCACCCGGCCCCAAGTGTGCCCTGTCCTCCCAGCACCCTGCCCTCTCCCCCAAGTGTGCCCTGTCCTCCCAGCACC